TATGCCCAAGTCTGTGGCTGTATTCAGTAATATTACTTCGTGACGACTACGATTCATCGAGGAGTTTGGCGAGTCGTTGTTTAACTTCCTGGACTTCGGCAAGTACCAATCTGTCGAGCTACAACAGAATAGTTAAACAAAACAAGCTAATATTTCGTGGTTAGTGGTAGAAAACGTACCTCTTTTCGTCGCTGTTCAATGCGTACAGCCTTCTCGACGATGGACTCACTGGCACTTGTCGACAACACATGATCGCTAAACTCCAAGCGCAATAACTTCGACAGCGAATCCGACGTGGACTTTTGGTTCGTCGACTTGACACGTCGTGCGGTTTTCTTCAAGATTTTCTTCTTCATTCGCTTCTTCGCAACTTTATCTGGACCAGTAGAATCGTCTTGGCAAGGGATTTGAGCTGTTTTCGTGGATTTTTTACGAGGAATTTTTACGGCATCTCCTAGATCCGAGAAGATGCGTGATATCGCATCCCCCGAGGTTGTTAACGATTGCCGAGTCCGAACTGAAGCCGCCGAAGCCTTCCGTTCACTTACTGGAACTTCACCGGTCACAATAGTCCTCTCAGCAGCGTGAAGCTGGTTCAAGACTCCGTCCAGCTCCAAATCGACCACATGTTGGGCCGTCACTGTCTTCCCAGAAACTGCTTTTCGCCTTCGAGGTCCCTGAGTACGGACCTCATCGTTAACTCTCTTGTCAGTTGAAAGGCGGCGAAACCTCGACGGTACTGACGTTCGTCTGGTAGTATTTAACTCCAAGCTCTGGTTTCCTTCTGCATTGAAATCTGCACTTATGCTTCGTCCTGACAGTGTACATTTACCAATAAATCTCGCCGTTTCATACTTGTATAGCGCATGATCAGAATCTACGGTGGTGTTCTTATCGGTTAAAATCGGTTGAGGACTTCCTGGACTTGTTTCTGGTTTTGAAGGAGATTTTTCAGCTTGGTACTTTATCACAAAGCAATGACATTAGAAAAAATAACTAAACAAAGAAACTAGACGAGTACACGAACCTCAACAGCGCACAGTACGCAGACACTATCCGTAACGTAGATTTCCGTGAACCCGTGACGCAGACAAAACCCGTCTTGTGGATTCTTTGGTTCCTCTTGAAATGCACGGTAGACCTTGCGCTGCGATATCAACGCTTCGAATACCAGTTCTCGGAATTCTACACAAGTAACCCAAGTCAGTAACGAGAAATTAAAAAAAAATCTAGTAACGCACTTTCAAGACTCATTTCGCTCGAGCCCACACGATCGAATCGAGTAAGTGCTTCCACCAGTACTGCACTCCCCATTAGAGAATGCAGCAATGTCCGTAAAGACAAACGTCGCTGTTGATGTACCAGCTTCGCTAACACAATGATATTCTCTTGTGTTAATCTCTCGCGTGTACCAATTTCAGCATCAAGCTCCTCCATCGTCAAGCTTTCTTGCTTTGGAAAACACTTTGCTAGTGACCGTAATTCTGCAATTTCAACGTATCCATCGTCCAGTGACTCCATTTGTTCGAACAGTTCGCAGACCACAAGTGCTAAAAGTTTGGTCCGAAAGTCTCCGATCTCTAACGCTAAAGTATCGCCAAGATACTGAACTATACTCCCATCCGATTGAGCAGCAGGTTCTATAGAGGTGTTGCCGGTGGCAGCTTCCCAGCGTCGAATAGCACGATTCCAAACGACTCGACGCTCAGGAAGACAGCCACTTTGAGTACGTGGAATGGGGCGCCATCCACTATCATGCTGCCAGAACGGCTCGAGTAGAGACTCTAGTGCACCCGCATCTATCGAGTCAGGCAACTCCCGTTCGTCGATCAATACTAGCAACAGCTCTCCAAGCAAAGATAACATCGGGAGGGTTCCAGGCCGTACTTCGGCCAATAAACGATCGACAGAATATCTCCGTGTGAAGTGAAAACTGGCTGAGGATTTCCAGGAGGATGGAACTGTGATACTTGCTTGTCGAAGAATTGTTGCGAGAAGAATTGTAGGGAAATTGGTAGTCGCAGTATCGTCGGTGATACGGAAAACCAGTCGTTTTGCTGCTAAACATGCCTGCGATAGGGTCGTTCTGGTCATCGATCCAGTCATCAAGTGGAGTGATCGGGTGCTGCATTCAGACTGTAATTGACCAACGTTAGAGATCACCGCGTCGTCATCATTACTAGTACCAGATCTCGCAGTCTCGGGACAATTCTTTGCTGTTGTTACATTCGACATTCGCCGGGTAGATGGTTTCTTCACAGGTGCACTAAGGGGTACAGCATTCTCTAATTCTTCACTGCTTTGGTTCTTTGCGGTATCTGTTACGGTATGCGGAGGAACTGTGATTTTCGCAGCACTGTGCGTTGGTGATAAAGTGAAAGGAGGTTTCGAAGCTGTCACTGTGTGAGTACCGTAAGCGCCACGTCTACGACGCATGGGTAATAGCTTAGTGTACTCGGAAGGCATGAGTGCCCCGACCCAATCTCGAGGTACTGCCAACCCACTAAGAAAATGTGATTGTGGGGCCCAATAGACTCCAGCTGGTGGTTGTTCCTCTAAGAAGATACGGTCACGTAATATGTCACGTAGATGCCCTAACGGTATGGGGTCCACCAGCAATCCGACCGTCAATTTCAGCGTCAATAGGCCATACGAACCAGTCTGTAACTCTAGCAAATAATCCGTTCGACTTTCAGGTTGTAGCGAATTCCCGAACCATTTTGCCGCCGTATTCACAGCCCTTAACGACAACAACGTATATCCGAAGAACTCCTCTTTATCGCGATAACGACTCGCAATAGGACCCCCATTAATACCAACTTGGTCGTCTTCCCCGTTCCCATCATGCTCTTCATTGTCACTATCATCACTCTGTGACCTTGGTTTCGCTTTCAACTTAATAAGAAGCCGCTTTTGTGAACAGAACTCGCTGAACGTTTCTAAAGTTGCGTAGAGATAATGAACTCTTGCTTCACACAGTTGCCAGCGATTGGGAGTGTGTCGTTTACTGCCTTCCAGCTGCACTCGCGTGACAGACTGATCCAGTTGATACTCTAAGTAAAAATCCGTGGGGTCCAAGTCAGGACCTCCATCCTGTAACTCGTGGAAGAAAAATACCAGACGAAGTTGTGTAGCTGTAGGGTCTACGTCTGCACCTCGCACAGGAGTCAGTATATTCCCTGTAGGTCTCAGTTCCGGCGAATCTCCACGCAGTAAAAGCGACGGCGGTATAACTTCACTCCTAAAAGCTTCAAGGGCATTAAGAACGTTTCTTGGAGCTTCTTGGTCGTATCGTAGCTCATTCGAAAGTAGCTGAGACGCTAAACCTGCTGCTGCTGATGCAGCCATCCCAACTCCATCGGAAGAGTTTATCTCTGTTTCTACTTCAGGGTCACCACTGGGGTTAACATTAGGCGACAGTACGCAATGCAGTTCACGTGCGAGTACTTGAAGTCGATTCTGCTGCTGGTAGATTCTGTAGCAGAGCATACATGTTGGAAAGTCACAAACATCACGCAGTTGGGACTTCCTAACTGTACTGACTGCACTCTCCCACGCTGGTAGATTCACACCACGCTGTCTCATGAGAAATATCGTATCAAGCGCCATTGTGAGTGTCATTCGGAACTCATCAACTGTTTGAGTTTTCAACGATATGGTACTGTTCGCCTTATACTCGTCACTGCTCTGGCCTTTAACCATCGCGTCTAACTGACCCCGGAACGTCGGTGAGAGCTCACACGAGCAGCCACACAGGAAGCACGAGCGCGTGTTCATCGCATGGCTTAGCTCGTCACCGCGTAATAGTGTGGATTCTTTAGGAGGTGACGATGGATCATCCAACTGAGATTCGTTATTAGGACCATATCGTGTACGTAGAGCCTCTGGAACGAATACCGCGGAATCTCGCGTACCGAAACATGCGTCGTCCCTAGGTGGTTCTATTGAACTGGAGGCGTTAAAATCTACCACTCGTGTGAGCCACCATACGCCATTGATGTCTTTGATAAAATCCGTAGTCATCGAGTGGAAACATAGAGTAGGGAGTTGCATCTGTACGTGCTCTACAATGCGAGAAGTGGTTTGAACGCCCTCGATTATTGCGGCTCCTCTTAGTTTGGGCCATCGAGCACACGCTCGAGCGTCTGGAGATACTGTAACGCAATAGAATCTGGCGGTTTGAGCTGCTGTAACCATAGCTGCTTCGAACGCCGCATTCATCGCTGCCATTGTTGATGCTGATAACCCGCTCGGTGATGTAACACAGGGACTTTTCATGAGACTCGCATCCTCGGGAGCCTCAGTGCTTTTCAAGCTACACTACCGATGTCATAACGACGTTTTAATGAGTGGTTAACGGTTAATGGTTTTGTTAAATCGCACCTGCTGGTTAAGTTGACTGCGAAGCACTTGCGCTCTTGTTTGCACCAGAAGACGCGGTATACGCTGGCCTGGGACCCTCGACAATGTACAAATTGCTGTATACAAATAGGAAGCTCACACGGCACCGCTAGAATAGGATCCAGCGTTCTTCGGGTTAACACGACTGCACTTCCGCCACTAGAGTGATTACTATTTTTCCATCGAGCGACACTCCTCACTGCCAGTACTGGATCAATTTCGTTAGAATCGGATGTCGCACTCATGAGTTCATTGTGTAGTTTCTTTCGCCAGAGTGGTGTCTTGTCTTCTCGAATGACGTTGCCTTGAGCATCGGTTCGTAACCAGAGCACCGACTCCTGAGCATTAGTGCGCTCGCAAATAACAGTCAGCGGTAAATTAATACGCAACTTTCTCTGAGAATGATGTTTTGCCGGAACATTGGTATTGCTATCGTTGTTGCCTAACGTTTCAGCACCGCCAATAGGCTGCAAGTACTTGTAGAAGAAAAGCAGGGGCTTCACTTCTCGAGGACACGAAAAAACACCACTCTAAAGCCCGTAAAACACAAAAAATCAATACCGAAAATGCAAGATAAATTACATGAAAATTACGTACGCTTCTGTCCGTGGGTCTATCTTTCGCGTCTCCTGCTGCATTTTCATTACCACGGGTTACGGTCTGCCACAGCGACGCAGACACTTGAACCTCGGCTCTCAGTCGCTCGCTTAGAGTCTCACCTCGTTGACGGCGATGCATTCAGACACACAGATGCACACAACACCGACAAGCAGAAAAAAAAGAGAACTAAAAATACGCAAGCAGGTCCAGTCCCAAATTTCAAATTTTGATCATGTTATTCATATAAAAGCGTAATGCTGCACCACCCGAGCTTAGTCCGTCTCGCTCTTGGTTTCAGTCTTAGTCTCCACCTTCTCGCTAGGCGGTAGCGCTTTCTTCGGTGCACTAGGCCACGTGTTGTACAGCACAACCGCGGCCGACACGCAGCCGACCGACCCGATGATGCCGTCGTGCAGCTTCGTGCCCGTGATCCGCTCCGCCAGCCGCACGCCGCTCGTGTTGGACGACACGATGAGGTCGCACATGACCTTGAGCACGGAGAGCAGCTTCTTGAAGCGGCCGCTCCTCAGCGTTTCCAGCTGGTTCTGCAGCGTCTCGACGCGTGCAGTGTCCTCCTCAGAGGCCAAGATGTCCCGCACACACTTCTCCTTCTCCACGTCGGCGTTGAGACTCTCCAGGGCGTTGAAAAAGCCCGCGACGTTGGCGCAGAACCACATGACGCCGCCACGTCGAGCCAGATCATCTGCGTCGAAGCGGAGCACCTTGGCTTTGCTGGCGAAGGCCACGTTGTCCGCTAGGAAGTAGCCCAGCATGCCCAGGTTCTGTATGAACTGCAGATAGCGCTGCGTCTCGGTGAGACTCTTGCTGCTGGACAGAGTTTGCAGCTTCTTGTAGTACGTGACGCTTTTGCCCAGTCGAAAGGCCTTGCGAGACTGCTGCATGACCTTGTAGAGTGCGTGTAGGCGCTGGCCCACGTCGCTCTTGGGGTCGGCCGACAAAACGTAGAAGGCTAGCGCTCGACTGCCATATTGCAGCATCTAGAGCGAATTAGAACACGGTTAATGGTGCGTTATGAAGCGTCGATGTAGCAGATTCTAAATCAATTGGTCACTCACCTTAGACAGCTTGTCTCGGCCTTCTAGACAGAAGGCCAGCTTGATGAAGGCGTCGAGTGAGAGTGGGGCCTTGGTATCCATGGTTTAGAGTTGACAGGGCGCGTTGGAGACTGCGAAGCGGGTGGATGAACGCGCAGGGGAGAGAGGAAGAAGACTCAAGTGGTTGCTCGAGCTCAAGAGCGCTGTGGGAGGAGAAAGCGATGCCACTAATGACACGTCGGCACGGCGGAATGGCGAATGACCCAACTTGAACTGCGCTTTTGGTTTTACGTGAACAAGGATCAGCAAAGATTCAGATGTAGACTCAGATTTATCAGATTTAGACTCGTGCTAAACTGGGATACATTTGAAACGGTTGCAGGGAGCAGGAGGACATCATCGTTAACGGCATATTCGGATCTCTGTCTGTCGACGGCGGCGACACAGCATACAGAACTGAAGGCTACCGATCGTCACTGCTGGTGGTGTTGGTGGCTGCGCAAGCAGCACATGGCGTGCCATGCCCGACACGCAATGTGCATGTTGAAGTTGACACTAGAGCATGTGTAAATGTAGTTGATTGTCATGGCTTCGATTCAAAGTGATCTCTGACCTCAGTACCATAACGCCTGTTCCAGAACAGGCTCTTGGCATTGGCCAGGCTGTCGTCCGCTACACTGAATGTGTCGTTGAGCACGATCTGCGCTCCCACGCTCGACTCATTAAACATTGGCCAGTAAATCTTGTCCTCGGACCATACCGAGTTGGGGTTGCCGGTGAGCACGAACGACACGAGATACTTTTGCATGGAAACGGCGATGGTCGCGTTCACCGCCGTTGTGACGGCACCGACGCCGGCAGCTTCTGTTGCGTTCGTAGTCTCCGCTTCCGACGAGCTGTTCGACGACGTGTTGAGAGTGTACGTGCTGTACCAGTAGTAGTTCTGGTCAGCACCGTGCGAGGCGGCTCCAAGCGCGACCTGGGCGTTCCAGGTCTCGTTATTGAGGGCATGCGTTAGTGCGATGTTCTTGTCTGTCAAGTCAAATGACTGTTTCATGTCGGCAAAACGCAGGTTGGCGTTTTGGACTCTTCCTTGAAACAGCGTCTCCACAGCATCGTCTAAAAAACCTGGAAAGAATGTGGGAGGTATGTGAGCACATCTTCTTTTGTGTGGACAACAGTGGACGCTCGCAAGTGGATCGAAGCTGGGAGTGCCTCGTCGATTCTCTCAATCGACTTTGTGTACATCGCGTACAACTGCCGCGTCGGCATTGCTGGCGGCCTGGCGCATCAACTTGAAAGCAGTGTGACCAATTTGTTCGTATGGGACGCGCGCAATGTAGCGCTCTTTCTGATTTCAAACAGACCATGACTCGTTCCCTACAGTACACGATGTTGCGAATGTTGCGAATGCGAGCTGTTTTGCCTAGCATAAACTGGCTGGATCTCTTCGTTGTCTGACACGAGTCCCATCGGCTACAGTATAGCGGACACCAGAACACGCAAATGGCAAAGTTTGTGTATCCGATTGAGTTCTTCCTATCGGGTACCCTATGTCAAGCTCTGGTGGACACAACCTGAAAATGTAGTGGACATATCCTGAAAACATGACGATTGTTACTTCAACACCAATACAGACACACGTATTACGTTGATTACTGTCGGCAACGCAATCAAACGGTTTCCCGCTGGAGAATCGATGTTGCAGCAAATTGTGGACTACTCAATACATTTCTGAAACCCTCAGTTGCCCCTGCGCGTCAAACATCATGCTGAATCTGCGATTGTGACCTCGGCATGACACAACACCACTTAAACTTTAGTTTTTAAACGACTCTACTCAGGACCTCGATTTAATTTAGTCGATAATACATGTTCGTCTCCGTTTCTGGGCTCCTCGGGATTAACAACCCGATCGCTTCGATTGTGGACGGATAGGCTCCGCAATCACGATGGGGATCATCAAACGGAGCAGAAACTGTTTCGAGATTACGGTAAGCACGAAATTAACCCTTTTAATCGATTCAGCTTTCGAGTGTCACACGTCGAATCCCAAGTCCTTTGTCACTGTGATTTGAAAACATTTGCCTCAAGAATCAAGCCATACAATACTGTTGTTACATAATGCCATCTACATAACCGTCTGCTGCTGCAGGCCGCCAGACACCGGATCACTTTTCTTTTTGTGTTCTCTTCAGTACAACACCACATCCTCCAACAAATGCACGTGTACGCTCTTATGGTGGCAGCCGCCGCGGTCGTGGTCCCCGCTATAGCTGACAGCAGCACCTATCAGGGGCCTGTTGTTAACACAACATCGACCACCAGCTCCAGCAGCCAAACCGTCCCCAGCAGTGGCTCATCGTCTTCGCCATTACCCACTGTGGAGCTCGACTATACTACCGTTCAAGCTGTCGGGGGTAACGCCACCATCGGATACTTCAAGTACCAGAACATCCGATTCGCCAAGGCACCGACGGGCGATCTCCGTTTCTCCGCACCCGAGTGGCCAGACATTGAAACTGCGATCAACACGGGCAACCTGGCTGAGGCCGACGTAAGCTGTAAAACTTCCGAAGACTGCTTGTACCTGGATGTGTGGGCACCAGCTGATGCAGCTGGCCGGAATCTTCCTGTCATGGTGTGGACGTACGGTGGTGGATTCACGGGCGGATCCAAGTCGGGAGTGACCCCCGAGGGCCTCTTCGATCTCTCAACCGACTTTGTATATGTCGCGTACAATTACCGCGTTGGCATTGCGGGTCTTGCAAACGGCCCGACGTACCAACATGAAGGCGGTGTGGCCAACCTGTGCGTCTGGGATTCGCAGCACGCCTTCGAATGGGTGCAGAAGTACATCAGCAACTTCGGCGGCAACCCGAACGACGTGACGGCCGTCGGGTTTTCGGCTGGTGGCTCTCAAGTGATGTTTCAGATGACTCGCTTTGGCGGCAGGGCTCCCCAGTTGTTCCACAAAGCGTACATCATGTCACCGGGTTACGTCCCAGGCGCTGGTCATCACCATGCTGAGCAGTTCTGGCAGAACGTGTCGTCTTCCCTGGGTTGCAACGGTGGCCACCTCGACTGCATGCGCGAGATTTCGTACGACGCATTAGTCAATGCCTCCAACACCATCGTGGACAACTACACGTACCAAATGCAACCACGCGTGGATGGCTTTATCATCCCAGACACATACGAGGCAAACCTGTATCAGGGCCACTTCAACTTCTCTGGACCGTGCGTCATTTCACACGCACTACACGAGGCCAATAGCAGAGCGTACTCGGGCGTCAACACACAAGAGGACGTGTCCACGTATGTTCGCATCTTCTTCCCAGGTATTTCGGACGATGCTGTGGAGACACTCTTGGAGTTGTACCCCGAGGAGGACTACGAAAGCGCTGGTCTACGATTCGCCGACATGAAACAGTCATTTGACTTGACAGACAAGAACATCGCACTAACGCATGCCCTCAATAACGAGACCTGGAACGCCCAGGTCGCGCTTGGAGCCGCCTCGCACGGTGCTGACCAGAACTACTACTGGTACAGCACGTACACTCTCAACACGTCGTCGAACAGCTCGTCGGAAGCGGAGACTACGGACGCAACAGAAGCTGCCGGCGTCGGTGCCGTCACAACGGCGGTGAACGCGACCATCGCCGTTTCCATGCAAAAGTATCTCGTGTCGTTCGTGCTCACCGGCAACCCCAACTCGGTATGGTCCGAGGACAAGATTTACTGGCCAATGTTTAATGAGTCGAGCGTGGGAGCGCAGATCGTGCTCAACGACACATTCAGTGTAGCGGACGACAGCCTGGCCAATGCCAAGAGCCTGTTCTGGAATAAGGCGCTGTGGTATTAACCATCCAGGGAGCTGAGTTTGGACCACGAGAGTTTTAGAACCACGATACAGATATTCACTACCAACGTGGTCAAACTTCTTCACTTCAACATAAGCATAAACAGTAGTCGATGATCCCGCAGTGAGTGGGGCAGTAACAACACAAAACAACCGGATGTTGCTACGGTTCACGCCATGACACTTACACTGTATTAACACGGAACATCGACGATGAAGTGATACCTTGATGTCCCGCGGTGCAAGCACAAACCTCACTTCATGATGCCGCCGCCACCTACCCAACCCTCGACAGCTCAGGACGTTTGCACAGGTTGACACACTTTCACTTTTGCCCGTTTCTAAGTCCCGCCTCCCTCCTCTCTTCACCATGCACATCTACACTCTACCAGTTGCCGCTGCTGCATTCACTGCTGCTATTCTCGCTGCCAACCCCAGAAGCGATGAATCTTCAGCGCTGCCCACCATCAACCTCGACTACACCACAGTCCAGGCCATCGATGGCAACACCACCGTCGGGTACTACAAATTCCAGAACATCCGCTACGCCAAGCCTCCCACAGGAGACCTCCGTTTCGCTGCACCAGAATGGCCTGACGTTGAGACCGAGATAAACACTGGCAACCTTGCAAACACGAATGTCGACTGCACGTCGTCAGAGGACTGCTTGTTTGTCGACGTGTGGGCTCCCGTCGACGCCGTCGGTCGTAATCTGCCAGTGCTGGTCTACAACTACGGAGGCAGATTCAAGCTCGGATCCAAATCTGTAAACACTCCCGAAGGTCTCTTTGAAGTATCGACGGACTTTATCTACGTGTCCTACAACTACCGTCATGGACTCACGGGTGTAGCCACTGGTCCGACATATCAACACGAAGGTGGCGTTTCCAACCTCGCCATTTGGGACGCCACACACGCCTTCGAGTGGGTACAAAAGTACATCCATAACTTCGGTGGCAATTCGCATGACGTGACGGCAGTGGGTTTCTCTGCAGGAGGCTCCCAGATTGCGTTCCAGATGACCCGATTCGGTGGTAGAGCTCCTCAATTATTTCAGAAAGCCTACATCATGTCTCCTGGATACCTTCCGAGCGCTGGTCACCACCACGCGGAACAATTCTGGCAGAACGTATCGAGTGCAGTGGGCTGTGACGGGGGACACTTGGACTGTATGCGGCAGGTTCCATTTGACACTTTATCGAACGCTACGGCGGAGATTGTGAGTTCGTATTCGTACACACTGCAGCCTCGTGTGGATGGATACATCCTTCCGGATACGTACGAGGCGAGTTTGTACCAGGGCCACTTCAACTTCTCTGGTCCGGTTGTTCTCACCCACGCTCGGCATGAATTTAACAGCGTCGCCTATGATGGCATTAAGACCGAAGAGGACATCTTCGCTACCTTCCGCGTTCTATTCCCTGCTCTGACTGAAAATATTATCCACGAACTACTCGAGATGTATCCGGCTGCAGACTACGAGAGTGCAGGACTGCGTTTCAATGACATCCGCCAGTCGTACGAAGTTACTGCGAAAAACTATGGTCTATGCAACGCCCTCAACAATGAAACATGGAACGCTGAGATCGCCATTAGCCCCGCGAAGCACGGCACAGACCAGACCTACTACTTCTATAACACAAACTCGCTTATGGGTTCGTCGAACGGGACGACAACAGGTTTCAGCGCTGCAGAGGCTGCTTTGGTTGGTGCTATTACATCGCCAGTGAACGCCGCG